GGCTGAGGCAGGAGAATCGCTTGAACTTGAGACGTAGAGTGAGCTGAGATTATGCCAATGCACTCCAGCCTGGGTGACAGAGAGAGACTGTCTTAGGAGAAACAAAAAGGAAAAAACAAAAAAAAACCTTAAAAAAATAAATGCAGGTCGGGAGAGCTGGCTCATGCCTGTAATTCCAGCACTTTGGGAGGCCGAGGCGGGTGGATCACCTGAGGTCGGGAGTTTGAGACCAGCCTGACCAACATGGAGAAACCCTGTTTCTACTAAATCCAAAAAGTTAGCTGGGCGTGGTGGTGGGAGCCTGTAATCCAGCTACTTGGGAGGCTGAGGACGGAGAATCGCTTAAACCCGGGAGTGGAGGTTGTAGTGAGCCAAGATTGTGCCACTGCACTCCAGCCTGGGCAACCAGAATGAACACTCTGTCTTACATAAATAAATAAATAAAATAAATGCAGAGGCAAGAGGATCACTTGAACCCAGGAGGTGGAGGTTGCAGAAGCGGAGATTGGCACTATCGCACTCCAGCCGGGGCAAGAGTGAAACTGTCTCAAAAAAAAAAATAAAATAAAAACAAATGCAAAGAAAATGTGTGATTTCTTAGAAAAGTAAATCAAGTGATCTAGAACAGCAATTTTGAAATTACTGTCGTTATGATACCTGGGGTCCCTGAGGTAAAATACTATTTTTATTCTAATATTCAGACATTAAAAGCTTTTCACTCTCACTTTTCAGAAGCTACATGAAATGTGACATGTGCTTGTGTCATCTTGAGTTTTTGAGAAATTTCTACGGTAGAAGTTTAGGGTATAATATAGATGTGTTCTCAGATTAGCTTGATTTGTTCCCACAACTTTTAACTGACTTCTTAACAGCAAATTTAAGTTATGCCTATTATAATGTTCTCTCATTATCATCCAATAAATAATTATTTTAAAATCCTGAACTTTCTAAAAATATAAAAGCAAGGCCATTCTTTTGACTATTTTGGAAAACAGTTATTTTTCATGAAACCTATTTTTTATGCTAACATGTGATAGCCTTATTTTTGCTTTATAAGTAAATAAATACCTATTTTTAAATTTCTCAGTTTTGATGCTGAGGCAGAAGGATCACTTGAAAGCCAGGAGTTCAAGACTAGTGTCGGCAACATAGTGAGACCATGTTTCAGAAAAAAAGATTTTTTTCTCAGTTTTAATTTTTAGTACACTATACAGATAGCCACATACACAAAAGGCAATGTAAGGGGTCCTAGGATCAAAAAGTTTGAGAATTACTAATCGAGAAAGACTGGTTGCAAATGGGAAAATAAAAAGCTGAAATTAAACTAAGTATGTTCTACAAACATCTCGTCTTTGATTTCTTTTTTTATTTAACAAAAGCGAATTAACAGATGTATGAGGTATTTAACCTTTTATCCAGGGATCCCACTTCACAGATATATTCTGCAGTCATAAGTGGGGAGTGTGATATGCGTGTTGGTTAAAAAAGATGGTTCCCCCATACTATGGAATACCACACAGCTATGACAGAGAGTGCTAAAGGCATTCTATGTGCTGATATGGAAAAGATCTTAATAAAGTTGCTAGGTGAAAAAAGCAAGGTGCTGAATGTTTAAAACGCTACCTTGGAGCATTTACTGAAAAGCTGGGGGAAGACAAGGTTTTGCTGTTTTTTTACCGTTTTGATATTTTAACCATGTGAATATGGAGCCTAGAAGAAAATTTAAAAAAAACTTTTTCTTTTTTTTGAGACGGAGTCTCACTCGGGAGGCTAGAGTGCAATGGCACGATCTTGGCTCACTGCAACCTCCACTTCTTGGGTTCAAGCGATTCTCCTGCCTCAGCCTCCCAAAGAGTTGGGATTACAGGCGCGTGCCACCATGTTCGGCTAATTTTTTTTTGTATCTTTAGTAGAGATGGGGTTTCACCATGTTGGCCAGGCTAGTCTCAAACTCCTGAGCCCGTGATCCACCCACCTCAGCCTCCCAAAGGGAAAAAAAATTTAATAAAGGAAATCGGAAATTACAGGTAATACGTTTAGGTATGATTTTTACATAGAAACAATTTCTAAGTCTAAATAAGGGCTCCAAAGACTCAAAGAAAAGGCCTTGGCGCTAAATCAAAGTTTTGGTGAATAAAAATACATACAGGTTTTAAAGATAAATGATTTAAGACATGTAGTGTTTTTTTTTTTTTTTTTTAAGATTCCCAACTTTTATCTGATTTTTTTATTAACTACTAATACTGAGTGCCCTGCCTGAGAGAGCCATTAGGAACTCAGAGGTAATAAAGGTAGGACAGTCACCTTCTCACTCCACCAAGTCCCAGGATTCTCCGGGGCCTGCCCCTAGAGGGAGGTTAGGAGGTCTAACAGCAGCCAGATCTCCAGTTGCCAAGGTGGGGAATTTGGTTTCCCACGGCTGGGCACTCTGGGCTCCCTTGGGCAGGGCTATTCTGTGGCTTGCCTGGCCTCTTCTTGTGCAGGTCAGAGGTTCCCAGCTTCTGCAACTCTGCCTCTGCCAGACCCAAATGGGGGCCCCCTCTGAAAGGCTTAATGCCCACGTGGGACAAGACAGTGGGGCTTTGTGACCCTACCCTGTGTCCCAGGGTCTGCCCTCCTGTCCCCTAGGTTGGCATGAGGCCCTTGGCTGGTGGCAGTCGAGGGGGTGGACTCCGGACTCCTTATCTCCCGGCTTTCCACCAACCCGCCAGCCTCCAGGTCAGAGAAGTCCCACTGCAGACATCCTGGGAGTCCCAGCTGGGCTAAGCAGCAGGCCCCTTCCCCGCTCACTCCTCATCCTCCCATGTCTCCAGGGACTCTGAAAAGAGAAAGAGACTCATCCAGAATAAATTAACACCCCCTCCCTCAATAATCACAGGGACAAATGGTCCCTTCCTCTTCTAGTTTCCTTTTTTTGGGGGGGGCAGAGTATAGCTCTTGTTGCCCAGGCTGGAGTGCAATGGTGCGACCTTGGCTCACTGCAACCTCCACCTCCCAGGTTCAAGCGATTCTCCTGCCTCAGCCTCCCAAGTAGCTGGGATTACAGGCATGCATCATCATGCCCAGCTAATTTTATATCTTTAGTAGAGATGGGGTTTCTCCATGTTGGTCAGGTTAGTCTCAAACACCCATCCTCAGGTGATCCACCAGCCTGAGCCTCCCAAAGTGCTGGGATTATAGGCATGAGCCACCGCGTCCGGCCCTTCTAGTTTCCAAGCAAAGCCTGGAGGTGTCAACAATTTCATAATCACATTTAGGATCAAAAATAGAACCTTTCTTTGGTCTTCTCCATCAAGTCTCTTGGCTACTGGCAACCGCGTGACTCTGGAACACCAATTTACCTACCTGGATCCAATTTCTTTCAATGTAAAATAAAGGGATGGGACTCCAAGTGCACCAAAGCCAGAACATTTGATGGTTCTGGGGCTCAACAACAAGGCCAAGCATTACCTTCGCCAGGTCAGGTGCGGGCAGGCTATTATTCTGGCACAGTGGGGAGAGGGAAGTCCTGGTTCCCAGGCACACACAATCTATCCACAGCACTACTGTGTAAACCCCACGATTCTGCAAATATTGGACATGCATTGAGGTTCCTCTTGGAATAGTGCAGGGTGTGAGCAGGTAAGGAAGGAGGAGGAAGGGAAGTAGGGTTTAAAAACAACCAGTCCAGTGAATGACATGTATCCTACGCACGCACACACAAGTGTGCCCACACACACAAGCACACACGCACCATGCAGGCACACACAGGCATTGCTACTCTGTCCTGGCTACCATCAGCCCAGAGAAGAGGCATTTCTGCTCTGAAGAAATCAGAGTAGCTCCCAGATCTAAAGGTGGAAAAAAATTTCTTTTCGGTAACATTGCCCAGTCGATCTGTGGGACAACCCCTGGCAGGCCACAGAAAAGCTGCCTTCCCAGAAGGGCAGAAAAATTACCTCCATTTTGCCAAGGAAGAGATTAATCAACCCTATGTCTCACACCATTCCTACAACCCAACCCCTCAGCCTCGGGGTCCCCTAAATAACCCACTCCACCCCACAAAAATGATGACGATGAGAATGATGACAAGCCGTGTACTATGTTCCAGGCAAAATCACGACATCCCGCAAGCCAGTGAGAACACAGATTAACAAACTTCTCACTGCTGGAGAGTGACGGGGCCAGGATTTGAGCAGAGGCCCACCTATCTCAAAAGCCCTGAATTCCTCCGCCACGAGCACAACCATGTCTAGGAGGGCGAAGGCTCTCTGAACTGAATTGTGCAGGGCACAGAGGCCTCTCTTGTGTTGCTATCTTGTTCTTCATCTGTGGATGCTGTTTCTCCCCAAGAGTCTGCGCTGGAAGAGTGGTGGCCAGGCCATCTCCGTGCACCCATCACTGCAGAACCCGGACACCAGGCACTGTACATCTACGTGCTAAGCGTCCCCAGAGCCCATAATTTTTTTTTTTTTTTGAGACGGAGTCTCTCTCTGTCACCAGGCTGGAGTGCAGTGGCGCAATCTTGGTTCACTGTAACCTCCGCCTCCCGGGTTCAAGCAATTCTCCTGCCTCAGCCTCCCGAAGAGCTGGGATTACACCACCCTCAGCTAATTCTTGCATTTTTAGTAGAGCCGGGATTTCACCATGGATGGTCTCGATCTAGTGACCTTGTGATCCGCCCGCCTTGGCCTCCCAAAGTGCTGGGATTACAGGCATAGCCACCTTGCCCAGCCGAGCCCATAGTTCTTACTCTGGTCTAAATGACAAGGCCGATGATGCAGCTGCCCCCTCCGCAAGTCCTCAGGTCTGCCGGTTCCTCCAGCCTCTGCACTGGCTGGCCAGCTGTCAGTCAACACCTGGATCTTAACTCCCCCTTAGCACTGCCCTCTCTCAAGGCCCCAGAGGCCAGATGAGTCACAAATGATAAATTAAGCAAGAACTTGCTTTCGGCCTGGCCCTTTGGGAAGAGAGAGTATGCAGAGGATTGCCCTCCACTGTCGGGTGCCCTATAGTCTTACCCGCAAACCAACCCTAGGAAGAGGATCACAGGAGATGGGAAGCTCATCTCTCTGAGCCTTCACCCGGAAAAGGAACATGTGGCTTTTTATCCCAGCTGCTAAGTTAGGATTCTGGACATCCCTTCTCTGGCTTTACCAAGGATACAAGTTCCTCTTCATATTTAGGGCTTGTGTTACAAGAGGTAAGGATTACAGAATTATATATACTGTGGATAAGACCTAGTTTGACCGTAGTACCCGCCCAAGGTCACAGGGCAGGTTAGGAGCAGAGAAGGGACAGAGGGCAGAGCTAACTCCCAGGCCCCTCCTCCGCAGGAGGCACAGCCTTGCCAATGGCCTGGGGCTCCTAGGAAAAGCCACTAAAGACATAAACCCAAACCAGGCTTGCTCCAGGAAGAAAGGTCACGTCAAAGCTGCTCCTACCCCCATGCTTCCATTCAGGCCACAAGACAGCACTCAGCCACTGCCCAAATCGTGTCCGGAGTCCTCCAGTACAGCCGGGCCCTTTAAGTGTTTCGAGAAGCCTCTCTTTGGAACCCAGGCCTAGGCATGCACCAGATCCTCAAAAGTGAACCCCCAGTCCAGAGCTGAGGAAATTTTCCCGGCTCAACTGGACCTCAGGATCAGAGATGAAACTGCTCGGATGGTGACTTTGTCCCACCTCCTCACCCGCCAAGAGGGGGCAGCCTGAACCCGACCACGAAAGTTGGTCACTAAGGACCAAAAATAGCCAGAAAGCCATCTACGCGGGCAAGCCAGGTTGGAGATTCGCTCAGCCGGAAGATTGGGGATATGTATGTTCTGGGAGGAGGTGGACTGGCGGGGGCCCGGGGACGCAGCTCTTGGAAAGCAAAGTCCAGACCCCAGCGCCCCATGGAGCCGCCCCTCAGATTGGTCACCTACTGTCTGCGATCTGCGTCCTTGTCCGCGCGGGGGCTCCGGGAGCCCGGCTCAGCCTTCGGCGGGGCGACCCACGCTCTGGGCACCCTTCTGCGGCTCTCGCATCCCGCGCCCTCCATGCGGACGGACCCCGCCTTGACTTCACCCCTCGCCATCGCGACACCGCGGCCAGGTGCAGCCTCCACCCGGGGGTCCCGGCGTGCGCGGGTGGTGCCGGGTCCTCGGCGCAGCGATGTCCCCGCCCCCACCCGGTGCCCCAGCCTGGGGCTCGCGGCTCCTCCGCCGCTGCACATCCCGCGGTCCCTCGCGTCCCCGCCCTCACCTGGGGCTCGCAGGCAGCCCCAGCCCTGCGCAGCCTCACCGCAAGGCCCCGGGCGGCCGACGGCGATAGGAAGAGCAGCTCAGCTCGTTCGTCCGTGCAGACACCCGCGCCGACCCCCCTCGCTGCGTCCGGGCCCCCCGACACTGCGCGCATGCCCGGCTATATACCCGGCGCGTCAGCGGCCGGGCCCGCCTCCAGCCCGCCCCCGGCCCGCCCCGCTCGCCCCGGGACTGCCACGTGGGGCCGGCGCGCCGGGGACCTGGCCTGCCTGCGTCCTCCTGCGCCTCGCGGCTCTGGCTGTGGTCGGCGCTCCCACCCTCCGTCCTCCAGCCCCGCCGCGAGCTCTGACCGTGACTCCCGAGGGCCCCCTCCTGCTTCCGAAAACCTCCCGGGAAGACCTGCTCCCCGGGCGCGGAAAGCTCTCACCGCCTGGCCTCCACCCCGCACCCCATGGAGGAGAGTCCTGCCCACTTGATTTGAATGTGCATTTTACCACTGCTGGTTCACCCAGAAAGCTTCTCTTCCCTCTCCAGCTCGGAAAGGTACTCCAGAAGGGGACGCGCCCTTAAACAATGTTTCTTCTCCATACTTCTACCAGCCAAAAGAACCAAAATTCCCTGGTTGAGTTCCAAATAAACCATATTATATTCACTTTTCAGACTTGATGTTGCATCGCTTCCCACAGTGATCAGACGCCTAAGGAACCCCACTAACCCAAAGTTGGGAGAAGTGTTCTTTTGGGGGTGAAAAATGTCCCAGGAGACTCTTCCGCTGTGGGACAGTCCCATTGAGATGTATATCAGGCCTAGGAAACGCAGAATTCTTGAGAAAATAAACCACCCATTCGACTCCCATTGTTCTGTTCTGCGGCACATCAGGACTATTTCCTCTATTAGCTGAGCCAGCTGTCACCTGAGCCTCGGGGGGGCTTAAAGGAGGAGATTTCTAGCCCAACTGTCGCTAGTTAATACTCGGTGCCGCTCCTAGCCCAGTGACTGGTGCCCAGACGGCACTAGCTGTCTCTGAAATTGCGCAGGGAAGGGGCAACATCCCACTCTGCAGGTCTTGCAGGGAGGACCCCCGTGATGGCGGTGCTAAGGAGGAAAGAAAGCAGACAGTCCCTGGAGCCGGTGGCAAGAAGAACTAAGCAGCTTCCTCTTCGCCAGGCCAGAGTGGGCCAGATTGTTCATGTTACTTTGGAAGAGACTAGCTGGGCCCTGGCGTTTCTAAAATTCAATTATCCTCACCCTGTAATTACAGTGCTGCAGTGGTTATGGGGCAGCAGTGATATTCCTCTAATTTGTTTCCAAGTGATTTCAAAGTAAGGATATCTCTTGCAGAATTTCCCTCAGAGCCCCTTCATCTTTGTAAGAACCCTATTACGCTCTTGGTTAAACTCGGTGCTTTCCAGACATTCTGTAATCCTTGTGGGACTCCCATCCCACTGTAGTAGGCTGTCACAAAGGGGCCAGTCCCCATCACGCCTTTCATTGAAGCACCAAAAAGGAGTAAGCCCACACAGAAATAAAGTGAAATAACATGCTTCCAACACACAGAGCTATGAAGGTATGAAGCCCTTATCCTACAGGAGTGTTAATCTCTTAAAACCAAAGTCAGAGAGCAGTCCCATCGCTTTTCCAGGCAAGGTGTCAATACTGCCCACAGGAGAACTAGACAACCTCCAAGGAGATTGCACGGCAGAGAGGGGGCAGGACCAGACACCCCACCACTGGGCCTATCATGGAGTTCTCACTTGTTTTCAACCACACCAAAGGTTGAGCTGCCAAAGTCCACATGGGCAAGCAGAGCTGATAAGCTATCAGCAATCCATTAGGGAATACAGTTAATTATTAACAAAAGCTCTTCACTCCCCATATCTACCCACACACAAAATTCTTCAGGTATCCAGCCTAAATCCCCTAAATCCTTCCTTGTTGCTGGGTAGTTCTCAGTCTCTCATTCCTCCTGCCAGGCTTGGAGGCCCCAGTTCTCTCTGCTCTCCACTTTTTAAAAAATTTTTGAGAGATTCTCACTCTAGAGCCCAGGCTGGAGTGCTGTGACACAGTCTCAGCTCACTGTAACGTCCCCCTCCCAGGTTCGAGTGATTCTCCTGCCTCAGCCTCCCGAGCAGCTGGGATTACAGGTGCCCGCCGCGCTGCCTAACTTTTTTATTTTTACTAGAGATGGGGGTTCACCATGTTGGCCAGGCTTGGTCTTGAACTCCTGAGCTCAAATAATCTGCCCTCCTCAGCCTCCTAATGTGCTGGGAATCCAGGTGTGAGCCACCTCACCCAGACTCGGCTCTCCACTTTTTCCTCTCATTACCCATTTTCACTTGTCAAAATTCTTTTTTTTTTTAACTTTTATATTCAACATGGCAGAATTTAACTTGTCCAAATTCTAACTCTTCAAAGTCACCTCTTGTCTGCAAGCTTCTGGATTCTTCTGAAGCATGTTTGAGCTACCCTTTCAAATTTTTTGACTGTAACCCACATTAAAAACATTTAACACTACAACTGCAGTATAAATAATGTAGCAAACAAAAATTTGACAAAATATCCATAAGATATGCAATGCAATGAATGATACTTCGTTATAGTTCAAGTTTTTAAAAAAGTGGTAGCAAACCCACTAAGTTGACTTCATTATTAGGTTGTGAAACCCAGAATTAAAATTTTATATGGTTTATGGTACTTATATTTTTTCCCTTAAAATTATTTCACTTTAATCTCTAACCTTATTAGACCTTAATCTGCCTCGATTACATGAGATTTCTGATATACCTGTATCTCCTAATGTAACATCTTGCACATAACAGTGTTTCAATAAATATTTGCTGGATGAATGAATGGGCTGGCTCAATAAAATATTGTTGGGCAATATTTAAGGGAACTTAGCACAAAAGTCTGACATTTTCATTGCTACTGTTTCCCTTCTGACAAGACACCACAGCTACCTGCCAAAAGATACATAGACAGATTTCCCTTTGCTGAGGTGAATAGAACAGCCTTGGGAAATAAGCCAGAGAAATGAGATTCCAGCCCTGATTGTGCAGAGTGGGTGGGGACTCCAGATGAAAGCCCTCTGTGCAGTTTGTGGTGACAAGGTAAGCAACTTGATCAGGTGGACGGAGTGAGATCCCTCTGCACCCCAGGTCTCAGGCCGGCTGTTCTTTTTATGAAACGGAGTTTCACTCGTGTTGCCCAGGCTGGGGGACAATGGCAGGATCTCGGCTCACTGCAACCTCCACCTCCTGGGTTCAAACGATTCTCCTGCCTCAGCCTCCTGAGTAGCTGGGATTACAGGTGCACACCACCATGCCTGGCTGACTTTTATATTTTTAGGAGAGATGGGGTTTCACCATGTTGACCAGGCTGGTCTCAAACTCCTGAGACCTCAGGTGATCCGCCTGCCTTGGCCTCCCAAAGTGTTGGGATTACAGACGTGAGCCACTGTGTTTGGCCTTAGGCCAGCTTTTTTTACAGTCTGTCCGGAGATTGGTGATCAGATTTCTCTGGTACCTTCTTGGAAAAAAATGCATTCTCTGTTTTGGCATGGCTTAACAAATTTAAGAGGATTGAAAGGAATGTGAAGGTTCTATTCAACCCAAAATCATGTCAGAGGACTCAAGGACTAGCTCCTTCCATTGTCAGCTGAAAGGGAACAACAGCTTTAGAGGCCTCGATTGTTCATTTCTGTTGTCATCGGATGGTTTTGACTCACACACAAAAGATGACTAGGAAAAATACCTGGTTTAGTAAGCTGTAGAAATCTGTCCATTTTAGCTAAGTGGTCTAATTTTTGGGCAAACAACTGTTCATAGTATTCCCTTATAGCACCTTTTTTTTTCTTCCCTCTAAGGTTGGTAATAATGTGCCCTCTTTCATTCCTGACTTTAGTAATTTGAGTCTTTTTTCTCTGTCAGTCTAGCTAAAGGTTTGCCCATTTTGTTAGTATTTTCAAAGAACCAACTTGTTTTCTTGATTTTCTCTGTTCTTCATTTCATTAATTTCTTTCCTGATCTTTATTTTTAAAATATTCTTTTTGTCCTCACCTGTGAATGAATGTTTAGTTGGGAATAGAATTCCAAGTTTAACAGTTCCTTTTTTTTTTTTGAGACGGAGTCTCATCTGCTGTTACCTAGGCTGGAGTGCAGCAGGACGATGTCAGCTGACTGCAACCTCCACCTCCTGGGTTCAAGCGATTCTTCTGCTTCAGCCTCTGGAGTAGCTAGGATTATTACGGGAGTGCGCCACTATGCCTGGTTAATTTTTGTATTTTTAGTAGAGATAGGGTTTCACCATGTTAGCCAGGCTGGTCTTGAACTCCTGACCTCAGGTGATCTGCCCGCCTCGGCCTCCCAAAGTAATAGTATTACAGGTGTGAGCCACCATGTCCAGCCTACAGTTGCTTTTTAAAATTACTATTCCTCTTGTCTTAAGGCATCTGTGGTGGTTCAGGAATAGTATGCCACTGGTCTGACTAGCTTCCTTTGTAAGCAATCTCTTTCACTTCCAGTTGGTTTTCTTTAATTGACAAATAATAACTGTACACATTTATGGGGTACAATGTGATGTTTGGATACCTGTATACATTGTGGAAATGATCAGATCTGGGTAATTAGCCTATCGTGTCAAATATATATATATATAT